CAATTCAGGATCATCAAACTCATTCAGACGATTGCTTTCCCAAAGGACATGCACATATTGAAACACCAAAAATATGTTGAAGAAAGCAGCAGATTGAAACGTCTCAGCCCATTTCTTGACGAGAAATACCAGATCTTGCGAGTGAATGGACGTCTCAATCATGCCAATATCTCATATGATCAGAAACATCCAATTATATTACCACCAGGCCATCCATACACAACGTTAATTATCCAAGATAACCACCAGAAAAATTACCACTCTGGAGTTCAATCAACCGTGTACGCGATCAGATGAAAATTCTGGCCACTCAACATCAAGAACGACACCAAGAAATATATCTACAGATGCACACGGTGTATCCGCAGTACACCACGAACTGTCACCTATCCAATGGGTGAATTGCCGAAAGAACGAGTCAATCAAGCTCGCCCTTTCTATCACACTGGAGTGGACTATTGCGGTCCATTCTATATCAAAGAGAAGAAGCTACGGAATCGCGGGAAGGTAAAGGTGTACGTGGCTGTTTTCATCTGTCTCGCTGTCAAGGCTGTTCACCTGGAAGTCGTCAGTGATCTCACCACCGACGGATTCATCGCAGCCTTGGAGAGATTCATTACTCGACGTGGAAAATGTCGCAGCATCCATTCAGACAACGGAACCAACTTTGTTGGGGCAAACAATCAGCTCAGGGAACTATACCAACAACTCCAATCCGAGGAACACCATCAAAAGGTCCAACGATATCTCACCGATGAGGGCATTGACTGGAAATTCATTCCAGCTCGTTCTCCAAACTTCGGCGGCTTGTGGGAAGCCGCGGTCAAGTCGTACAAACACCATATGACTAGAATAGAGAGAGACACTCTGCTCAATTTCGAAGAACTAAATACCTACGTTATTGAGATTGAGGCGATTCTCAATTCGCGTCCAATCACATCAAGCTCATCAGATCCTAATGATCCCATCGCCATCACACCGGGTCATTTTCTCATTGGAGATTCACTGACCAGCATACCAGACTGGAATTGGACTGACATTCCGTCCAATCGTTTATCATCTTGGCAAACTGTTCAGAAACTTAAGCAAACATTCTGGACACGCTGGCATAAAGACTATATCAACGGCTTGAACATACGACATAAATGGACAAAGGGGAGTCATGATATCAAGGAAAATACCATCGTAGTCATCAAGGATGACAACCTGCGCCCACTCCGATGGCCCATTGGTAGGGTCATGAAAACTCATCCAGGACCTGATGGCATCACCCGCACTGTCACTATCAAGACAGCCACAGGTATCATTGATCGCAACGTTAGGAAGCTCGCGATTCTCGTACCAAACGAACAATAATTTTGTCAAGCATTTGAATGGACTTCTAAAATTTACTTTTCTTTTGATCGCTTAATCTCTCAAAGGGGGCAAGATGTTCCAAATCGAAACATATTTTATTATTGCAGAAAGAAAGTAATTATTCAAAATTCTGTTAATCTCTAAAAAATATTATTGCTTGAACATCTGCTCGGGAAAAATCACTCAGTTTTACGGTTTTATTACAGTTTTAGAAGCATCGAAAATATTTCAGAACTTTATTATAGATGTCTACGTCTACGTGTTTTCCCCGTCCATTTCAAATAGCATTTTATTATAGAAGTCTACGCCTGCGTACTTTCCCAGTCTGCTCAAACTAATTTACCAAACGAACACAATAATTTTAAAGTGTCCTCCAGCCTAATCCTCGTCCTCATTTATTATTTAATCCCAAGGGTACAAATCCTCGAACGACTGTTTATTTGCAGTGCATTTAGTCGCGTAGAAACCCGACCGTCATAAACCAATTTCCATCCAGCCCTCTATTGCACCCAACCACTCGAATTCCAAAAACGGACCCTCTCTCTCTCCTAACCAGTCTCCACCCTCAACTCCTACCATTTTTCTCATCGACCAATGAGTATTGGCCTTACAAAATTGTAAACCCAATGGCCAATGAAAATCCACCAGATTCTCCCTCTCAATCTGAAAATCCACCAGATCCTCCCTCTCAATCTCCCAACTTACTTTCCTAAAATTTGCTCTCTTCAAAGTCAGTTATCTTTCAACTATCGAGCAGACCAGTCGAAAAATTAAAAACTTAAAATCATTTCGTGAAATATCACTCGTCGATATTCTAACATATCTCTCGTGTAAAATAGTTTGTCATAAAGTGTAAAGTTCTTTCTTAACAAGTGTCTATGAATAAAATATATTTTTTAAACTGTCAAGTGCTATGTCATTTAAATAAAAACAGTGAACCCAAACCAAACCTCGTTAATATTAACTCCCTAAAAATTTGTTTGTGTCATTAAAAGTCACAACAGTTACATCCATTCGTGGATGACAAAGGAATCCTCCGTGTGGGTGGACGTTTCAAAAGGTCGGAACTTTTCTATAATCGAAAACATCCCATTTTGTTGCCCAGTAAACATCCTGTTACGGATATGACCATTCCACAGGTGCATCGTTCAAATCTCCATGCATGGATCCAAAGCTCTCTCCGTGCCATTCGAACCAAGTTCTGGATCTTAAACGGCAAGAATCAAATTAGGAAACTTGTTCGTCAATGTGTTGAATGCATCGGCCAGAAACCAAAGTTGGTTCATGCTCAGATGGATGATTTGCCTAGAGCTAGAGTTAACGAAGCACCAGCTTTTTCTCGAACAGGTGTCAATTTCTTTGGACCAATTCTCCTCAAGGAGAAGAAAGATCGCAACCGATCCTTCCTCAAATCCTACGGTTGTGTGTTCGTTTGCATGGTTTCGAAGGCCGTACATATTGAGCTTACCACTGACCTTTCCACAGAAGGTTTTTTATCAGCTTTTCGAAGGTTTGTCAGTCGCAGAGGCATTCCTGAATATGTCTACTCTGACAATGGTACAAATTTCGTTGGAGTGACCAGAGAACTCAGTGAACTTTATGATCTTATTTCCACCCCTGACTTCAAAGAGATAGTAGGAAACTACGCTTCGTCCAGGCGCATCGAGTGGCATTTTAATCCGCCACTGTCTCCCCATTTTGGAGGAATTTGGGAAGCGGTTGTAAAGAGTTTCAAATATCACTTAAGGCGCGTTTTAAAGGATCACAAGCTCACTTATGAGCAACTTAACACCTTTCTCATCGAAATCGAAGCGATCTTGAATTTGCGACCTTTATGAACTCTTTCAGCCGATCCCAATGATCCCTTAGCAATAACTCCAGCTCACCTGTTGATAGGTAGACCATTGAACGCGCTGCCCAAAAAATCGTTTCTTTCAGTTCCAGATAATGGTCTTTCTACATATAATTTCATCACCAAGACCAAACAAGATTTCTGGAATAAGTGACACAAGGAATATCTTCACGAATTACAGACTCGTCATAAGTGACAGGACTCCACTGCTGAACTCAAACTGGGTTCAGTAGTCCTCCTCATGAATGATCTTGTCACCTGTGCACGATGGCCACTGGGAGTGATCGTCGAAGTCTTCCCTGGGAGTAACGGCATCGTCCGAGTTGCATCAGTTAAGACTGCTGGTGGCATCTACAAACACAACATTACTCGCCTATGTCTCTTGCCCGTAACTTAGTTGTAGTCTATCGTACCAAGGATTGTAAAAATACGAATTCATTTAACCTGCTCTATAACATTCGATTGTAATAACATTTCGCAGCTTTCGCCGGGAGTATGTTACATCGTAGCACCTGTGAAGGTTTGAGGGTTCACATGCTGGCGACAAGCGGTGGCAGCCCCTTACAGGCACCGTTTTCGCTAGTGTGTGCGCGCGCCGACGGATGCATATGGCGTCATTCAGTAAAAACCGACACTGAAGTGTGTGTGGAGAGCCAGCAAAAATCCAAAATTTACTGAGTCATCTTGACTTAAAACCCAACGAAACCAACAAAACCAACATCTTAAAATAACTAATAACAAATCTAGTGCACTAGTGAACAGTAATTCAAAGCAAAGTGGCTAAGAATTTACAACAAAACAAACGAACAATCAACGGTACGAAATCACACGGTTTCGTGTCCGCACGTGGCACAGAAGCTACGCTCCCGAGGACGCAATCAACAAATTGCGCCAAAAAACCCCCAAATTAACCTGCGTAATTAAAGTTTTAGTGTAAGTTCGATATTTATATGTGTGGACACGTGCTAGCCGTTGTCTTGAACCGTTAAACAACGAAAAAATACATTGTGTTATATGTATGTTTGTGTGAACCCACGTATGACACCGCCATTCGCAGTGAATCCTCCAACTTAGTGTATTGATAATAAATCTGGGTTTTTTATGCCGAAAGGCTTTTTCCCACAAAACTGTGTTCTTCTTTTTTTATATATAATTTAAAGCAGCTATCATACCAACTAGGGTATGATAGCCTTCAACGTCAATTCAGAAAATTTTGCAACTGAGTTAATCCATTGGCGAAAGTCACAGATCAATTCCATCTCTACATCCCGGGTACAAATCTCGCCACTGAATCCCTGCTTGCCACACAATCATACCGGAGCGAAGAGGTCAATTCAAGCGCGTGAGCGGAGTTTCAGCCACATCCCCGCTTAAATTTCTACACGGAAAGCAATTCTGTTAGTCGAATTTAGAATATGAGGAATAATGTTCCGAATACCATTGAAACTTCACAGTTGATCGAATATTTTTATAAGGTTCCATGCATAGCAGCAAAGTCGTCAATTTCGTCACAGAAAGTTCCGAGTTAACAAACTGAACTCTCTCATTCGTTTGTAATCAATTTATCAGGATATCCTCTGTAATTTTGAAGCTCTTCCGGTACCCCATCTCTAAATTCGGCCGGTCATCTAGCTTGTGTACACATTTCCTGTTGTTTTTTTGTCAGTGTCATTAAATTCAAACTCAATGAATTCGAATCGGAAGTGATTTATGTCTTGCCTCAATGGTCACATTTGTCAAAAATGATGTTGCTTATCTAGTAATCTGATATATTATTTCCCGTTTTGACAAGGATCCAAGGAAGAGGTGAACGAGAAAGCCAAGACAATTAGGCAGAGGACCTGTGCTAAACCCACATTGCTCTCTGCGTTAGACATCAGCGAAGATGATGAAGCCAGTTCAAAACCCAAAAAGACGCCGAACATTGTCTCCTCAATAGAGCTCAAGGTAGCTCTCCGAATACAGCAGGAAGCCCTCAAAGAAGCGATAAAGAAGGGTTAGTATCTTACACATCCTTAAGCCGTAGTCCTATCTTACTCTTTTCATCCTTATGAACTGTATGAGCAGCTCACTCAAAGTCACTTTGTAATGTCAAATCTATCGAAATCTAAACTCTGTTGATCCACCACGTTATTCTTTGTACAATAAATAATTCCTCCTGAAATTTTTCATTTTCCACAAGATTGAACTACAATTGAGACAGTTCGGACCTTTGCGTTATGATTCGCAAATAGAATTCAAACAGTTTCAAATGTTCAAAATCTTCACTTCAAAATCTTATTGTTCTTCAACAGAGGAATCGAAAGAATTCCGTATTGAACTCTGATACTCATGAGCCGACCCATGAAAATCGCGAGGCGACATCAGGAAAAAGACGATGATGAAGAAGTCAATTTCCGAGTGTCTCCAATTCTTTTGAACAATGACTCTGAGACTAAGCAGGCGACGGATCAGAACACGGACAAAAGACCTGAGGGCATTGATGATCGTGGACCTAATTTGCTGAATTCTGGAAGTTCATTCAATTACGATCACGATACAATTAATGCTTCTTCCAACACTGAAGAAAAGAGTTCTAGAATGATACTATCGCTCTTGAATACCGATAATCTCCTGAACATACCAATCCTTCGTCGGAATGCGCTGCGTTTTCAGGTAAGAATCGAACTTGCTTTCTATATTGTAATCTCGACATTCGAATCTTACGAAGAATTCATCTGGTTCGTAAATGAAGCTAATTGCTGATATTCTAATCTTATTCTATTCGTTCTGGACAACATTTATTAAATTTGCAGAATGCTAGTCTGTCGTGACAGAAAACATGTGTGTGAAGTTTTCGACTCTATTGACAAGTTCCATAGATTGTAAAACACGGATGATATTGAGATTATGACTGTTGTCTTTTAGGAACAGAGTCATACGTCGAGAGAGCAATGCGGGAAGACAGAGAATTGGGAGAATTGCCCAATGAGCGATTCTCCCAAGAGAATCTCAAGTCCTGCTATAAGCGATGGTTCTGGGAGAGTAAAATAAGGAATCATGAAGCCCCCAGAATTGTCAAATAATATCAAGGAAGTCGCAGGAGGCAACCTTTTCGGAACGACGAAATTGAATTGGAACGATGAAGATGAAACTCTGAAGAGAAGACATGATAGTGATGTGGAAAACGATCTAAAGTCATCTGAAAAGGTAACTTGAGGAAAGTTAATCATTGTGATGTACAGGGTATCCCATAGGAATGTGTGAAAACTAAACTCATCTGCCGACTCATCCAAAATAACCTTGACTCTCTACGTTTGTGTTACGTTTACTAGGGGCCAGTCAGTTTTATTCCAACTGTGGCAGGAGCCTTAGTTTATTAGCAGTAATGAGTGATTTGACAATTCAAAAAAAAAGATATCTCATCGAGCGCTTCTATTCGAGAGGGAAACAATACTGTGAAGCTTTTAGGGGGTTTCGTACTAAATTTGAATCCAAACGAGTTGCTAGCGAAACCACTGACAGGTTACAATAAATTTTCTGTCATATTGATTGTGTGACACAACAAAACACATTACAGATTTTCGTAGAAATCCCGTTGGTTTCTAGTCATGATAATATTCTTTTTCTAGAATAATTGAAAATTCCGAGGAATACGGTATTTTGGATGATCGTAGAGCTACTCTTCCAGGTCTCTCATTCTCTGCTGCAACAGAGGAGAAGGTCAATGAAGTTGAACAGTATTTCAAGGCCAATCCCAACTCGTCCATTCGGAGAGCCGCTCACGATTCAAAATTGACCAAGTCAACATTGCATCGGATCCTCCACGTTTTTTTGAAACTTCATCCATGTAAAATATTGATGTGTCAGCGTTTGACAGAGGAGGCTATTCTGAGACAAAAGAAATTTTGTGAAAGAATGACACAAATGTTTGAAAATGGCGAGCTGCATGAAACAGCAATTGTTTTTTCTGACGAGGCACACTTTTGGCTAGAAAACTACGTAAACAAAAATAATTTGAGATTTTGCGCATCTGAAAAACCTAATTTGTTGGTTACGAAATCTGCTCATCCATAGAAAGTCACTGTTTGGGCTGCTCTCTCCATGAAGGGATCTACCGTTACCGGGAATGAGTACAAAAGAATGTCAGAAACAAAAATCTTCCCTCATGCGAGAAAAAATGGGCTTGTCAATGGGTTTTATTTTATGCAGGATGGAGCAGCTTCCCACCATACTCACGAAGTTTTTGAAATTCTTAATACAGATTATCGCGGTCGAGTTCTTGGTCTGGGATATCCAAAATTTTGTGGAGGGGGAATAGATTGGCCACCCAATTCACCAGATTTTAATCCGTGTGATTATTTCCTGTGGGGTTACATAAAAGATTCTTGTTACGCAATCAAGTCAAAAACAATCGAAAATTTAATAAACAACATTAAAAAGACTGTTCACGGTATTCCACAGGAAACATTAGAACGTGTATTCCACGGTTTCAGGAAACGTTTGGATTATTGCGCCAGTGTTGATGGCTCTCATTTCGAAAACATTTACTATTAATCGCACTTGTCACGTACAATTTTTGTAAGCTACTATTTTTGTTGGGTGAAATACATGTTCCAAGCCCAAGTTCTGCCGAGTACATGTTTCAAGCACAAGTTCTGCCGAGCCCGTGCTTGTCCGGATGTATCTGAGGTGGAGATGCACAGATCTTTTCCTGAAATTGAAGTAAGTGGGAAGCCTTCGAGCCACTCTAATGTAAATTCCAAGAGGATAAATTCTTCTCAAGATGGAAAGGAATCAAAGAAAGATTCAGATATGGATCCTTTTCGTGTGGATGACAACAACAAGTCGACTAAGGTAAATTTCTGAGTAAATATTTCCATCAATTTTGGTGAACTGGAAATTTCTAGCGCACAATGCGGAATTTCTAATCATAGTAGGCATTATTCCATAGGATTTATATGCAGAATGCTCAATCCATGTGTTAAATATAACAAAAAAATGCCTTATTGTTTAGAGTTATGGTCCATATAATACATTTTTGTCTATGAACAACCTCTTCATTACTCGCAAAATACATCTCAGGAGATTTTCTCCCTTGTCGTGAGAGCTAGTTCAAGGAAGTCCAAATTCATTGTCTTGTTTTAAAATATTGATAGCGATACAATAAATAAAATCTGCGAGAAAAAATTAGAGAATGGATTTGGATCATGGGGTTCAAGGATGAAAGTCACGTCGCGGAATGGAGACTAAGAATCAAGACCGACAATTTGCTCTGTCACTAGGTCGACAGGAAATTTTTTCGGCGAAAATGAATGCAAAACTCTCCGTCGGCTCCTTCTACAACCTTCTATGCCCCCAAAATATTTTCTTCATCTTAACGACAAGAAATACTCCATAAATTTCTGAAATTGTTTATAGTATATTGTGTTACTCTTAGGTATAGTTCCGCTAGTGCTCACGAATGAAATGGCTGAATTCCTCATGATGAAATGATTGTACGTTGCAGATTGATGTACAGAACTCTCCTGCATTTCGCAACCAAAGAGATGGCCATCGTTCATGGGAAAATTTAATTGATTTTGATGACAGTCGTACCTCAATTATCGATTCACCAAATATCACGGAGGAACCCTCAGGAATAAATGTCAAAAAAGTAAGTTCGACTTCAGTTATGTAATATTTCGTTATTAATTGCAGATTTTACGGATTACGGTTAACCTTTGATAGAAACCATGACTTCTACCGCTATTGTATAAAACTCAACGTTTCTCGTGCATCTCAGTAATTAATCTTATGGAGTTATATTCAACTTTCAATAATCATAACATAGTCAAAGATATTTCAAATAAGTAATATCCCACGATGAATATGAATTACTTATTTCCGCGATACATTTACGTGAATGATATAAAACGAATAATTGCCTAAAATAAATGGTAAAACAATTATTAGAATCAAATAAAATAATTATTATTCCAACCGGCGGTGCAATTAACAAATCGTATAGTGGCCTTGAGGAGGGGAGACCGATTTGTTAATTATTAGAACCATTCGGAGACAGAAAAGAATAACTGCAGATCGATTTAGTTCCTAATAGAAATTACGGTTTTTCCGTTTTTATGTCTGTCCGGAACACTGATCTTAGCTGTTTAAAAACTATCTTTTTGATACTAATGAGAATAATTTTTTTTTTCGGTAAACCAAAGTATTTGGATAGAAATCAAAATTTCACGGTAAAAAAAATAATATTCCTATTTTGGCCCCAAGTAGAATGAACTCAAATTCTAAACAAGTTTCATTTCCCTCAATTCAATGTATTCGGAGCAGAAACAACTGATATTCTGTAAAAAGTCATATTAGTTTGAAAATTCATAAGCTAATCAGTAACAACTAATTACAAGATAAACAGCCCAGAAGTCCTTCATCACATGGCAGTAATCCTTCGTGTATCCCTCTGCGATATCACACGTCTCGTGGTTCTATTGAATGCGATGATCAATTTCCAAAAAACTTGAAGCACACTACCAAATCTCACGCTAAAAAGGTAAGATTCCATCAAGAAACGTTACGGAAGTTGAACAAAATAAAAGCTACGTGTAACTTGAAATGAACACTTTGTGGACCATCGGATTCAACTACAGGTGATAAGACGCCGAACAGCCATAACATGGGAGTATATAGAAAACGACTCAGATTTGGAAAAGCCGATTAAAAAGGTAAATCCATGCAGGTAAATTGCCATAGTATCTATTTCATCAACATACAATTACGGATAAGGTCTGTCACATGATAAAACTTCACGTTAATTTACAATTTTAGAAGCCACTGAGAGTTAAACAAAATAAAATCGCATCAGAGAAATGCAAAGATTCCCCACATGTGTTGAAAGAACTAAAGAATATCCGTAGGCAAGTCATGAAATTACAGGATCAAATGCAAACATTCCAAGTTGTCGCTGTGGAGAAGATCAAAATAGCGAACGATTCCTTCGAAGAACTCAAAGGTATAGTTGAGTATGCCTTGATCTATGCAAAAATATTGTTTACTGTATTTTTTACTTAAGGCAAATTATTTCCTCCGCACAGAGAGTATAGTGAGAAACTTGAGAACTAATTTGAGGGATTTTGAACTCCCCCACCCCTTGCAGGCTATTGGAGGAAAGAAAGTGATGAGGTAAATCAGATTACAATTGTTCAATTGAATTGGGTCCTATACCTGAAGCTTTCAGGTCATGTCCATCAGAATCAACATAGGTTAAAAATATTTGGACACCCATTCACGTTCAGTTGATACTGTAGTCTTCATTCATCACTATAGACATGAAATTTTGAAATGAAACTCCTCAAACGTTTCCATGAGGTGATTCCTCAGACTCATTCTCTCATTTCCTTTTTTCTTTCCTTTCCTTTCCCATGACATGCCAAAGTTCCCTGACTACTGCGGAGATTCCGAAGATAGAGATCCTTAAATGGGCTCACCTATTAGCCAAAACGATAAATGAATTTCATATTTCGCTTCTTAAAGACGAATTGATTGTTAGGGGCGACCCCTGTAAATTACGAATTGGTAGGATATCCCTGTAAAATTCTTCACACGTTGAAGATCGATTAGATGTGTTTTAAATCGAACAATTAACAAAATCAATTGTTATTCGTTTACCCTCCAAGTGGAAAAAATCCAGTTTAGTCTATTTTGCTAGTTAGAGAGAATATTTTCTCTCCACATATTCTTAATGGAGAATATGTGAAAAATACATTTTCTGGCTATATTTGCATGAATGGTACAATTTTCTATTTAAGCACAATTGAAATGGGAAACTCAAGGGAAATTTTGAAAAGGAAAAATCTTCTGTAGCTCAAAAATGAAGTACACTCGACTTGAGTATATTTTCCAATTCTAAGCGTGAGGAAGGCAAACAATGAACGATTGATGTTGTTGCACCAATTCCTCGTATCTAGACACATTCAATCGATCTTTAACGTATAGATAATCTTGGCAATGGAACGCAACTACGTCCGTTCATTTCACTACAATATCCCACTATTTCGACAATTCATCGGAGTCTCCTCTTGATTTATTGGGAAACTATTGTGGAAAATTCTTCACAGTAATGAGTGTTACACGCAGCAGAGGAATTAATAGAATAACATCTGATTTCATTCAGGTATTTTATATAAATATTTCTCGACATGGAGCTTCCAAATGATTATCACTACATTTTGTTTTCTTTTTCTTTTATTAAGGAACATTACTACATCTGAGTGTCTTTTTGTTTCATTAAGAGATATTCCTTTCGATGATTTCGAGATTTTCGAGATGCGAAAATATTCCGCTTTTTTGTCCTTCATCCACAGATTTATACTACTGATAACTGTAGATATGATACACACAGAATTCTGTATCTTTTCCAGTCTGAAATCATGCATATTGGGGAAAGAATATGGATCCCTAAGGAACAGTACGATAATAATTCCGTTCAATCATGTTCACTACAAGCTTTCGTCCGCAATATGGCAGCAGTTATTTTTCAGGAGGAATTGCAAACTAGGAGCGTCACAAGGAGTATTTCTCGTAGAACAGGAGAGAAGAGAAAGGCTTTATCCTCAAAGGGCCGATTAGCAATGAGAGGTATTTAGTTATTGCTCCACTTAT